TGATTATGGATAGTTCTAGATGATTCCCGCGATCTTTTCAACTTCGTAAATATCTTCATTTTCAAGTGATTCCATGTATATGCTAAAGTTAGCTTCTATAATTGAATTACTTTATTCATGATAAACATATTAGCAGTTGATTTCTCATATGTAAGCGCGTGTCAGTGTTTACTTGAACTTCTCTTTTGAGCCATTGTAATTACAATTATAATCATCAAATTAAGTTTCTAATTTTTTCTTTCTTAATTTAATTGATATGTTACATGTATCAGTAAGTCAAACGCACCAATCCTGAAAATTTTGGGCTGTCTTTGTGTTATTTTACCTGGATAAGAAACAATTTACTGTAATTCCTGTAACGCTAAATCTCATGCTTTAAATTTTCCCTGATTATTATTGTAAACAGAATTTAGGCAACTTTGTGTATAAGACATTGCAATCTTGGTTGTTTTTCGTAATATTAATTTTATTCAAATTTGATTGTTAATAAAGCATGATGGAGAGTTTCTTTAATTGGAATGTTAAGTTATACGATCGAATATTGTGCAGGAAGAGCACTACGTTTCCAAGTTGCAGTTCTCCTGGCCTCAGGTCTCATGCATTTCGGGATTTCCTACCAGGGGTAGCAGAGCTTTATTTGTGAGCTACCGAGATTCTGCAGGCGAGGCAAGCTGCTAATACTTATTATGATTTTTGCTACCTGAATGATAACTGATTAGTCATAATTTTCAAATTAAAAATAGTATATGTTTTCAAAATGGTTAAGAGTTTTAGCAGTCTCTGTAAATGCTTTGCCTTTGTCATGTTTATCTTAAAAACCACTCGGAGAATTGTGAGAACATGAACAATTCTCTTATATTCTGGAGTTTAGATGGTTCCCTTTTAGGTGAAGCAAATTTTTGGCTTTTGACAATTTAGATTTTGCCAAGTATGAAATACTTCATACGATGGCACAGAAGAAATGTGCTATGTATTTCTTGTTGCAGTAGTTGTAATCCGCTGTTCTTCTGGTTTTATGATAAATTTGAGTTGTGTACTATTTTCTCATAAACAATTCAGTAAATTGGCCATGGTGAAACTGTGAACGTTTCAATCTAGGATTTTCAGCTTCGTTCTTTTACGTCAGATGAAGTGTATATCCTGTCTTTATTATGTTCATGCAAATTTATTATGTAAGCTTTGGTAACTGCTAATTACCGGCAAGTCAGTAATCGTTTCTGCTCTTTTTCCACCCTTGAATTCTACAGTGAAATTTGCCAGGTTCCTTTCTTTTCAACATCAAATTTATATGGATAATGAAAACATTTGATAGGCTGAAGATGATAAAGAGATATGGTTTATGCATGTTACACTACCATATTATAACAGTGATATTACTGCCCAAGAAAATTTGTTACGTTTAACTGTGACAAGAAAATTGGAATCCTTCCAAGATAGTGCTACCTCATTGTATCACTAAGCTGAGTTGTTCAGATGATAATGCATTCACTGTTATGGTCAATATGTGAAGTTCTCTTATGGCATAACTATCTACAATTTAGTGTTAATCTCAATATTCTCCTGTAAAGAATCAATAATCTAGATGATAAAGAATACACTATTACAGTCAATCTGTAAAGTTCTCCTTTGGCATAGCTATCTACAATTGAGTGGTTATCTATTAGATGGAGTTGGAGTCAAAATGTTGTCAAACTTTGGTATTTTTCTTCATTGTTGTTAGCCCAGTGAATGGTTTTCTGCGGTTTACAGATCCAGAAGTTTGCCATGCGATTTTCAACAAATTATGAAGCTGAGACATTCATCAATGCTTTGAAGGTATAAATACTTTCACAATTCCATGAGAATTATGAAATTTGTTAATGTAAGAGAGAACAGGTTATCGTTCTGAAGAACATACTCCTCTTTTCTTTATAGCAATGATGTTATGTTGTGTTTCTTTTCCAGGAAATCTTGAAGGGCGAGGAAGAAACAGAGCCTCTGAGCAGTGACTTTCGATCTGAAATTTCATCTCGTTCTGAGTTCGTGTCTTCTAATAGACCTCAGTAGGTGGAAATGGAGATCTGGCACTACCTGATTTATGTTGCATTTTTTTTCAGATGATTTATATTGGCAAAAAACGTTATAGATTATGGAATGTTTGTTGAATCAGATATCAAACAGATACTGACTTGAGGTTTTGGTGTTTGTAGAGCTTGTGAGGAATTGAGTATTGTAGGTCCTGTTGACACTTATACTCCTGAAATGCCACCAAACTTGAGTTATGAAGTTGAGCAACCCTATTGCACCCAGGAAACCATGCTTAATCACAACTTTGAAGGCATTTCTCCGGCAATGCCTCCTAGCTTCCAATCATTACTGGCTAATTGCTGCCCTGAGGTCAAGAAAGGTAGATTTCCTATCCCTTTTATAAACAGCAATATTTCCTCTTATCCCATCTGATAACACTTCTCACTTAATTGAAATGATTCAGTTGAAGCTCAACCAACTGTAACTGAAGAAGTTGATCTCAAAGCTCAAATTGCGGTATCCTTTTGTGCTCTTTGCTCAGTATTTATTGGTGTTTGATCCCAGAATGATAACCTAGTTGTGCAAGGAAAGGATTGATAGGGAAACTTTTGTAATTGCATTTTCCTACTAGCTTAGCTTCGATTTATAGCACAACTGCTTTACTAAAATATCAGTCCTTTTGCAGAGATATATGGAAGATTCCTCCTTCCAAGGTGAGTTTTTTTTTTTATAGTGAACTTCGTCTGTTTTTTTATTACTCCTTGCATGACAAAGCTAGTTGAATCTAATCATGGACATGCGGCCTTCCCATTGAAGCTTGTCAGCCACTTAAAGTTAATTGTTGTTGTCAAATATGCATGCTGTTTTTTCTCGCTGAAGTGAGAGCTCTTTTATTTTGTTAACTTGGACAAGGATGTTTTTGTGAACTGAAAAGTAAAGCACTTTGAGGAAAACCTATGAAGTGTTTTTCTTTCTTTATCTTTTTTTTTTCTTTTAAACTGAAAGAGTTCAGCCAAACACTGCAAAACCATCACCAAAGCACTTTTAAAGGTGTCAAAAGCGCTTGTTAAACACACTATAAATTCAAAAGATTCTAATGTCTAGATTCTGGTCAGTCTCTATACTAGAAATGCTAATTCGTCAATTTTTTTTTTTCTAATTTTTGTTTTATTGTCATTTCCAGATATGTTGTTTAAAGTGGACAAAATCATTAGCGAGATAGGAGGTGATTTGAATCTGTAGTTGTCTGCAGGTTTGCATTTTACTTCCAATGCACTTCACAGCTTTGGTTCTCTTTCTCTTGTCTTAAGCTTGTCTTCAGTACATACAGCTCAAGCCAAGTTTTCATATTAGGAAGTAGCAACATTCTCATCTTGGTCAAAAAAGCTTTTTAGGAAAGAACTGTAAAGTACTCGGACTCCATGGAATAAAGACATGAACAAATGACATATTAGCTGCAGGAATCCCCTTGTCCTTACAGCATATGAAGGGAAATCGTTTAGTCTTCTTACAATTTTATAAGCGTTTTATTACTCTTCTTGTTTGTCATATTAAGGAGCTTGTGTTGACATATCTGTATATCTTGTTGTTATAGGTGTAGTTATCATAATACGACATGGTACATGACATCTTTATGGACCCTAAAGGCGTAATGATCGTGTTATAATCACTTACAATTAGTTTAATATTAGATCGTGACAGTAGAATTTCATACCTTAAAATGAAAGGGCAGAGTTTAGCACGCCTGGCCGTCTGGGTATTCAGAAAAACCTTAAAATTCAGATTTTACATCAATAATATTAGTCTCATAAACATCTTTTACTAACACCTCTCATTAACCTTATATAATAGTTTACAATTAGTTTGATCATATGAGATTTACTGTTAGACAGATAAAATTTATATAAATTAATCCATTGTAATTTGATATGTGACGCTTTTGAGGGAAAAATAGTAAAAAATGTAAGATGCCAAATGTCTTATTTAATTACGACGCTTTCATCAAATACACTGCGGCACATCAACATCAGTAATAAGTAGCCGGCTGGCCCGCCTCCTGCCTGTGCAGTTGACTTCTTGTTAATGTAACACAATGAAAATGAAACCTTTTTTAATCACTCGATTTATCTAATGAAATGGACCTTTACCTTTCTTAATTTTTGTTGCTGTCTTGGACTTGGACACCCATAAAAGGATATAGCTGAAAGGGTTCCTAGACTCAATTTGAAAAATACTTACGTCTGCATAAAGGATAAATATAAACCAAATAATTCATCTACTTGAAGCTTAGAGTCTTTACATGCAATCGATAAGTGAGCAGATACCAAATATTAAGATAGGAATCCTAACTCATAACGATGCCTATATTTGTTCCAGTCTGAAGAGACAATGACTGCATTGGACGAGGAAAACATTAACAAGGACCTTTCCAATTCAATTTCTCCAGCTTCTATCCAGTAACGAATGCATTAAAATTTTATAACTTTACACTCACTTAGGCCCAATGGGCATATGACAGTAGAGTTCCGGCTGTATGGTTAAAGCTTAAGCCAACTCATAAAATTTGCAATACGACCAGTGTAGTTTATAGTTTATATTTTACATATGAATTCGACTGCAGTTTGGTAGATTATGACTTTTGACATACATGACCCGGCACTAAACTCCTGATGCCATAACAAATCAAATTGTAAGCATCGACAAGAGCCCAGTACGGATAAAATTAGCCCCGGTAATTTAAGTGACAAATATGGTGGGAAACTTTGTTAACTACAAAATCATATGTTTACAGAATGAACTCATCTCGTTGGAACCTATGCTAAAACAGAGAAATTGCACATTAAAAATGTCAAAGTAAACCGATTGCCTTTTTTAATCTCAATAAACTAACAAACATGTAATGACAAAAGAGAAATTAACAAGAATTTCTAATTCCTCCATTCCATTTCTCTTTCTTTCTTCCCTTCTTATGGAATATCCCCTTGACAACAACTATGGCTTTTGATCATGATCTTCTTCCCCGTCTTCTCATCCTTCCTTTATTGGCAACTCTACTTGATGGAGTTTCAGGCTCCCATGTGATTACCAGAATGTCAGATATGTACTCTTTTCCTTGCTCTGGTAAAATCCACACATGTAATGCTTCATTGTATTACATCAACAATAGTATGCCAAAAGAAAAAGTTGCCTTCTTTTACTCTGTAAACCCATCACAAATGAAGCCAATTTCCCATGGCAAAGCACAAGACTACCTAATAACAGTGCCTTGTACTTGCAATACTGTCAACGGCACAACAGGATACTTCTATAATACATCCTACACAGTGGAGCCAAATGACACATTTGTGGATGTTTCTGCTAAGTTTTATAGTGGTCAAGCTTGGAGAATTGGAGGGGAAGAGCATTATTTCATTGCAGGAGATGTAGTTCCCATTTATCTTTTATGTGGGTGTGTGGAAACCGAGTCTCAAATTGTGGTAACATACACAGTTCAGCCACATGATACATTAGCAAGTATTGGAACTCTTCTTTCTGCCAGCATAAGCGGCATAGAGAGCATGAACACAATGGTGGCTCAAAACCCAGCTTACATAGACGTTGGTTGGGTTTTGTTTGTGCCCATGGAGCTCAATGGAATTCCATCTCGAAAGAAAGGTGAAGTTTTATTGCTCAAAACTCAATAACATCTTTGAATTCAATAACACTTAACTATGNAACGATGGTGGTGGCCCAGATTTTTGATGACAGAAATGCCCAAAAACTGGCAAAGAAGAAGAGAAGTCGCCCAAAAATGCAAGTCACAAATTTGAGACGTGGGGTTATTTTGACCTTTTAATTTAATTTGAAATGACCAACTTAACCTTTAACTATTTAAAAAAAAAAAATCGTCTATTTAAGGATGAGAATTTGGAATTTATGAAGCTAGGGGTACCAACTAGGGGTGAAATCAAGTCGAGTCGAGTATCTGGGTACTCGAACTCAACTCGGTTACTATAGTAACAAGTTCAAGTTTGAGCCTAGTCAAACCTGAGGTATCGAGTTCGAACTTGAACTCGGTTCCTAAAAGTCGAATTCGAGCTCGGTTAACAAGTTTTAATCGAACTCGGTTATTCGAGCTTTAATCGAGTTCGAGCTCGAGCTCTTAGAAAGAAAAAAAGAAATTACATGATGACAAATTTCCTTAAATAAAAAAGCTGAAATAAAAAGGGGTTGATTTGCTCTCTTTTATCCTCCAGAAAAGCAAATTGTTGTTTTTCTCTTCAACATATTTGAATAACACTTAACTGAATCAAAGGATCAGAATACACCAAACATACACCTCCTTCTTATTTCAAAGTTCAAACCAAGTGTTTTTTATACACCTCCTGCTTACTTCAAAGTTCCAATGAAGGGGAAACAAAATTTATAGAATAACTTTTAGTTCCTTTTTAACTTCCCATTCCAAGAGTTACCTAAAAAAATAGAAAAATACTCATTATTTCCATTACAGAATAAGTTATTAATCTCTCTTTCACAGTACCTGAGAGTTTGAGAGGCCGAGAAGAGATGAAGCAAGCTGGCGACCATCGAAGGAGAGGGAGGAAAACAACGATGAGAAAGACGGCGAACGAAAGTTGCGTTTTGGTTTTCAAAGTAAAACGACGAAGAAGGAGAGGAAGATATATTTGCAATTTAGGGTTCTAATTTCTTGTTCCTAAATCACGTTTTACATTATTTAAATACGGGTGGATTTGCAAATTTTAAAACTTATAAATTTACATGACCCCTATGACCTTGAAAACTATCAAATTAACGCTCGAGCTTGGAAAAACTCGCGAGCTTTTCAAGTCAAGTTATACCTTGATCAAGCTCGACTAGAATAAGTATTCGAGTAGCTTAAACTCGAGCTCAACTCAACTATTGTTGAGCCAGGCTCAAGCCGAAACTGAGCCGAGCTCAAGCCGTTCACGAGTCGCTCGACTCAGTTTTCACCCCTAGTACCAACCTAGGATTTTGCTAGACCTTGGCTGAGAATATGTTGTTTACTCTTTTTAAATTTATCATTGAGATGATAACTTTCATATTTTTATTAAATAGATCCTAAAAGTTTGAAAAATTAATCCTCGGATTACACTTTATCTAACTCCGTTATTTATTGTTTGGGGTAGATGGATAAAATGTTAACTTTGATTTTGTAATAGCCACTTTCTACTCAAATACTCATATGAAATACATATAAAGTAATATAAAAAAATGGGCCCAAATTTTTTTTATTAAACATATATAAACATAGATATCTTTACAACATATAACTTTTTACACAAAATTATAATGTGTACAAAAGTCATCAAAACATAATAGACAGTGTAATCGCTTCTCCTCGAGTGCCGACATCCATCCGACCGTGTCCTCACCTGATCCTGCAAAACATAGGAAAACAATGGGGTGAGCACTAAAATAATGCTCAGTAAGTAAATCCTCTACTCAACTATCCCCAACTCTCTCTCTCTAATTCTTTCTTACAATCCTTATTTACTCTCTCTTATACTTCTCACTACTTGTCTTTCTCATAACTCTTTTTCTTAACTCTTCTCTAGTAGTCACGGCCTCATCTTACTAGAGGCACGGCCGGGACTCGCTCCCACTCTATGTGACTTCTACTCAGTTTATCTGATCGGACTCGGTTATGCATGGATTCGGACCCTTGGCCATGTGAGTGTTTAATCTCTCTCTCGGGTACTCGGGTATAGCCCTCATCCGCATTACTCTCACCGGCTACACCTCTTCTCTCATACTCATGCCGCTCTTCTCAATGCGGCATCATGCAGGGCTTACCCATTACTCACGGGTTCCCCATCGCACAACCTACTCTATTCTCTTTTTCTTAGCTCTTAAAGTAGCTTATACTCAATTTCTCTACTATGTCTCAAGTACTTCTTAAGTGTATAAACAAATGTGTATAGATAGCTCATGCTCACTAATGCACTTATGAAATGCCAAATACAAGATTTCCTCAAAACAGTCATTCTGCATAGGTCACACTAAAAAGGCCATAACTTGCGTTAACACCTCGGATTGCTACGATTTTGGTCTCGTTTTAAAGCTTCGAAACAGGGCTATAACTTCTATGTTTTGGTCTCAGCCTAGTCAAACCGTAAAATGCCCAAAAATCACTTATAAAATCACGGCAGTGACAGGGCAGATTTCACCTAGGCATTTCATCAAGAACTCATGTGCATAAAAATACTCTACTAAAATTACTACTATACTTATTCTCTAGCCATCCAAAATGGGGGAAAACTCCCTCATATACTCATAATCCTGCCAAGAGAAAGCACTTCCAAATAGGTTCACACAACATCTCTCAAACTTCATCTCAAATTCTATTTCTCATCAACAATCAAAGACACTTCTCATAATACATATTCATCTCAACTCAATTCACAAACTAACATAATTATACAAGCATACATCTCTATTCAATCCTACATCTACTCAAAACTTAGCAAACTCAAGTTGGTAGGATTTACTTACCTTGTGGAAAGGTACTTCTTAGCACTTTTCCTTTTCTTTGTTGTTGTCTTCCTCTCCAACTCAAAACAACAACAAGAACAACCAAATAAGACTTCACTATAACTATAAGAAAACTCACATCTAAAGCATGAATCATTACTAGGATGCTTTAGATGAAATCTCTACTTAAATTTATTCAAAAGCTCTCTTAAATCCCTTGGAGATCTTGGAAATTGGATGGAGAAATTGAGAGAAATTAGGCAAATGGAAGAGGCGGTGGAATGATGGGATAAAGGGTTTCTCTCACCTTAACCTTTTAGCTCATATTATAAGCATCCTTTCCCATTTTGCCCTTGCCTTTCCTTGAAATTCCATCTATATCCTTGATTCTTTACAACTACACCCATCCAACACAATCTCTACTAAATTTCCTTACATTTTACCCCCACTTTACTAATTAGGGGTAGAATGTCATTGTGCCCCAAAAGAAGAATTCTCTAGAAAACTCAAGAAACTTTTATTAGGCTCGTCGCCGCGGCGAAGAACTTTCCATCGCCCTGGCGAAACAGGGCAGAACCTACCGTGGGTGTGCAGCTCCTCCTCGCGCGGCGAAGCTTCTTCTCGCCCGGCGAAGATGGATTACCAAACTTCAACAAAACTCAACTAAAACAAGACAAAAATACCAATTCACATTAAAGGCTAACCACAAAAACATACAAACTCAATTGAAGCTGAACAATGAATCCTTTAAGTAATAAATACAATCTTAAGTATGGACCTCAAGTGGGGTGTTACAATTTGAAAAAAGTGTTGGGATAAAATGGTAACTTTGATCTTATGAAGAAGTGTTGTAATAAAATTGTTTCGTCTTTATAAGAAAATTTGTTAAACCTAAGTAACAAAGTTAGAAAAGGGTACGTATAATAAAGTTTTAAAGGTCCATTCGATTTTGATAAGACAAAAGGGTATCATTGCTTAGTTTCCAACTTTGAGAATTTATTTAATAAAATTATAAAAGTTGTCATCCCATGGTAAATTCGAAAACCAAGGGCAGTTAGAATTCTCCGGTTATAATATCTTATCTCTCTTCTAATTTCAAATTATTCCGAGAAAAGTTCAAAAAAAAAAAAAAAAAAACAAAGGCGGATTTCTCGAAATAACGGCAGCTAGCGAGCATTTGGAGAGCATCTGTTAAAGCAGTCGAGACCAGTGGCATCGGATCCACTTCTCTCGCTTTCACCATTCCCAATCTCTCTCTCATCCACGTGTCCCTTTGGTTCCTCTCCAACGCCGTTATGGGCCATACATGGCACTGGATCTAACTTCGTTCCCGCCGCTTCTTTGCTCATCATCAAACACCGCTCCACCTCCGATCCCACCTACACGTCTGTTTACAGAATAAGATCCTGTGAGTCCTTGATATGGTAGTTCTAGAGATTCCCGCGATCTTTTCAACTTCGTAAATTCTTCATTTCAAGTGATTCCATGTATATGCTAAAGTTAGCTTCTATAATTGAATTACTTATTCATGATAAACATATTAGCAGGTGATTTCTCATATGTAAGCGCGTGTCTGTTTACTTGAACTTCTCTTTTGAGCCATTGTAATTACAATTAAATCATCAAATTAAGTTTCTAATTTTTTCTTCTTAATTTAATTGTGTTACATGTATCAGTAAGTCAAACGCACCAATCCTGAAAATTTTGGGCTGTCTGTGTGATTTGCCTGGATACGATACTGTAATTCCGTAACGTAATCTCATGCTTAAAATTTCCCTGATTATTATTGTAAACAGAATTAGGCAACTTTGTGTATAAGACATTGCAATTTTGGTTGTTTTCGTATATTAATTTATTCAAATTTGATTGTTAATAAAGCATGATGGAGAGTTTCTTTAATTGGAAATTAAGTTATACGATCGAATATTGTGCAGGAAGAGCACACGTTTCCAAGTTGCAGTTCTCCTGGCCTCAGGTTCATGCATTCGGGATTTCCTACCAGGGGTAGCAGAGCTTTATTTGTGAGCTACCGAGATTCTGAGGCGAGGCAAGCTGCTAATACTTATTATGATTTTTGCTACCTGAATGATAACTGATTAGTCATAATTTCAAATTAAAATAGTATATGTTTTCAAAATGGTTAAGAGTTTTAGCAGTCTCTGTAAATGCTTGCCTTGTCATGTTTATCTTAAAAACCACTCGGAGAATTGTGGAGACATGAACAATTCTATATATCGGAGTTTAGATGGTCCTTTTAGGTGAAGCAAATTTTGGCTTTGACAATTTAGATTTTGCCAAGTATGAAATACTTCATACGATGGCACAGAAGAAATGTGCTATGTATTTCTTGTTGCGTAGTGTAATCCGCTGTTCTTCTGGTTTTATGATAAATTTGAGTGTGTACTATTTCTCTCTAAAACAATTCAGTAAATTGGCATGGTGAAACTGTGAGCGTTTCAATCTAGGATTTTCAGCTTCGTTCTTTACGTCAGATGAAGTGTGACTAGAAAATTGGAATATTCCCAGATAGTGCTACCTCATTGTATCACGAGTGAGTTGTTCAGTTAGAATGCATTCACTGTTAGGTCAATAGTGAAGTTCTATGGCATAGCTATCTTCAATTAAGTGTTAATCTCAATATTCTCCTGTAAAGAATCAATAATCTAGATGATAAAGAATACACTATTACAGTCAATCTGTAAAGTTCTCCTTGGCATAGTATCTACAATTGTGTTATTATTAGATGGAGTTGGGTCAAAATGTTGTCAAACTTTGGTATTTTTCTTCTTGTTGTAGCCCAGTGAATGGTCTTCTGCGGTTTACAGACAGAAGTTTGCCATGCGATTTTCAACAAATTATGAAGCTGAGACATTCATCAATGCTTTGAAGGGATAAATACTTTCACCATTCCATGAGAATTAGAAATTTGTAATGTAAGAGAGAACAGGTTATCGTTTGAAGAACATACTCCTCTTTCTTATAGCAATGATGTTATGGTGTGTTCTTTTCCAGGAAATCTTGAAGGGCGAGGGAAGAAACAGAGCCTCTGAGCAGTGACTTTCGATCTGAAATTTCATCTCGTTGCAGTTCGTGTCTTCTAATAGACTCAGTAGGTGGAAATGGAGATCTGGCATACTGATTATTGTTGCATTTTTTTTCAGATGATTATATTGGCAAAAAACGTTATAGATTATGGAATGTTTGTTGAATCAGATATCAAAAAAGATACGACTGAGGTTTTGGTTTTTGTAGAGCTTGTGAGGAATTGAGTATTATAGTCCTGTTGACACTTATACTCCTGAAAGCCACCAAACTTGAGTTTGAAGTTGAGCAACCCTATTGCACCCAGGAAACCATGCTTAATCACAACTTTGAAGGCATTTCTCCGGCAATGCCTCCTAGCTTCCAATCATTACTGGCTAATTGCTGCCCTGAGGTCAAGAAAGGTAGATTTCCTACCCTTTTATAAACACAATATTTCCTTTATCCCATCTGATAACACTTCCACTTAATTGAAATGATTCAGTTGAAGCTCAACCATCTGTAACTGAAAGTTGATCTCAAAGCTCAAATTGCGGTATCCTTTGTGCTCTTTGCTCAGTATTATTGGTGTTTGACCCAGAATGATAACCTAGTGTGCAAGGAAAGGATTGATAGGGAAACTTTTGTAATTGCATTTTCTACTAGCTTAGCTTCGATTTATAGCAAACTGCTTTACTAAAATACAGTCCTTTTGCAGAGATATATGGAAGATTCCCCTTCCAAGGTGAGTTTTTTTTTTTGTGAACTCTCGTTTTTTTTATTACTCCTTGCCTGACAAAGCTAGTTGAATCTAATCATGGACATGCGGCTTCCCATTGAAGCTTGTCAGCCACTTAAAGTTAATGTTGTTGTCAAATATGCATGCTGTTTTTTCTCGCTGAAGTGAGAGCTCTTTTATTTTGTAACTTGGACAAGGATGTTTTTGTGAGACTGAAAAGTAAAGCACTTTGAGGAAAACCTATGAAGTGTTTTTCTTCTTTTCTTTTTTTTTTTTAAACTGAAAGAGCTCAGCCAAACACTGCAAAACCAATCACCAAAGCACTTAAAGGTGTCAAAGCGCTTGTTAAACACACTATAAATTCAAAAGATTCTATGTCTAGATTCTGGTCAGTCTCTATACTGAAATGCTAATTCGTCATTTTTTTTTTTTTCTAATTTTGTTTTATTGTCATTTCCAGATATGTTGTTTAAAGTGGACAAAACATTAGCGAGATAGGGGTGATTTGAATCTGTAGTTGTCTGCAGGTTTGCATTTTACTTCCAATGCACTTCACAGCTTGGTTCTTTCTCTTGTCTTAAGCTTGTTTCCGTACATACAGCTCAAGCCAAGTTTTCATATTAGGAAGTAGCAACATTCTCATCTTGGTCAAAAAAGCTTTTTAGGAAAGAATGTAAAGTACTCGGACTCCATGGAATAAGACATGAAAAAATGACATATTAGTCAGGAATCCCCTTGTCCTTACAGCATATGAAGGGAAATCGTTTAGTCTTCTTACAATTTTATAAGCGTTTTATACTCTTCCCGTTTGTATATTAAGGAGCTTGTGTTGACATATCTGTATTCTTGTTGTTATAGGTGTAGTTATCATAAACGACATGGTCATGACATCTTTATGGACCTAAAGGCGTAATGATCGTGTTATAATCACTTACAATTAGGTTAATATTAGATCGTCACAGTAGAACATACTAAAATGAAAGGGCAGAGTTTAGCACGCCTGGCCGTCTGGGTATTCAGAAAAACCTTAAAATCCGATTTACATCAATAATATAGTCTCATAAACATCTCTCACTAACACTTCTCAATAATCTTATTGATAGTTGCAATTGGCTTGGTCAATGAGACTTATTGTTAGTAGATAAGATTTATCAATTGATCAATTGTAACATGAATATGACGTATTTGAGAGAAAGATAGTAAAAATGTTTGTAAGTTAGTATAACTTTTAGTAAGGATGCCAAATGTCTTATTAATTACTTTTAGTATAGTGTCCTGGCCTGTGTAGTTGACTTTTGTTAAGTAACACATGAAAATGTCAAAACCTTTTTTAATCACTCGATTTATCTAATGAAATGGACCTTTACCTTTCTAATTTTGTTGCTGTCTTGGACTGGACACCCATAAAAGGATATAGCTGAAAGGTCCTAGACTCAATTTGAAAAATACTTACGTCTGCATAAAGGATAAATATAAACCAAATATCATTCTACTTGAAGCTTAGAGTCTTTACATGCAATCGATAAGTGAGCAGATACCAAATATTAAGATAGGAATCAACTCATAACGATGCCTATATTTGTTCCAGTCTGAGAGACAATGACAAATAACAGGTCATGTGCATTGGACGAGGAAAACAAGGACCTTTCCAATTCAATTTCTCCAGCTCTTATCCAGTACGAATGCATTAAAATTTTATAACTTTACACTCACTTAGGCCCAATGGGCATGACAGTAGAGTTCCGGCTGTATGGTTAAAGTAAGCCAACTCATAAAAATTGCAATACGACCAGTGTAGTTATAGTTTATATTTTACATATGAATTCGACTGCAGTTGGTTTAGATTAGACTTTTGACATACATGACCGGCACTACACTCCTGATCCATAACAAATCAAATTGTAAGCATCGACAAGAGCCCAGTACGGATAAAAATTAGCCCCGGTAATTTAAGTGACAAATATGGTGGGAAACTTTGTTAACTACAAAATCATATGTTCTAGAATGAACTCATCTCGTTGGAACCTAGCTAAAACAGAGAAATGCACATTAAAATGTCAAAGTAAACCGATTGCCTTTTTTAATCTCAATAAACTACAAACATGTAATGACAAAGAGAAATAACAAGAATTTCTAATTCCATTCCATTCTCTTTCTTTCTTCCCTTCTTATGGAATATCCCCTTGACAACAACTATGGCTTTTGTGATAATCTTCTTCCCGTCTTCTCATCCTCTCTTTATTGGCAACTCTACTTGTGGAGTTTCAGGCTCCCATGTGATTACCAGAATGTCAGATATGTACTCTTTTCCTTGCTCTGGTAAAATCCACACATGTAATGCTTCATTGTATTACATCAACAATAGATGCCAAAAGAAAAAGTTGCCTTCTTTTACTCTGTAAACCCATCACAAATGAAGCCAATTTCCCATGGCAAAGCACAAGACTAACCTAATAACAGTGCCTTGTACTTGCAATACGTCAACGGACAAACAGGATACTTCTATAATACATCCTACACAGTGGAGCCAAATGACACATTTGTGGATGTTTTGCTAAGTTTTATAGTGGTCAAGCTTGGAGAATTGGAGGGGAAGAGCAGTATTTCATGCAGGAGATGTAGTTCCCATTTATCTTTTATGTGGGTGTGTGGAAACCGAGTCCAAATTGTGGTAACATCACAGTTCAGCCACATGATACATTAGCAAGTATTGGAACTCTTCTTTCGCCAGCATAAGCGGCTTAAGGAGCATGAACACAATGGTGGCTCAAAACCCAGCTTACATAGACGTTGGTTGGGTTTTGTTTGTGCCCATGGAGCTCAATGGAATTCCATCTCGAAAGAAAGGTGAAGTTTTATTGCTCAAAACTCAATAAATCTTTGAATTCAATAACACTTAACTGTTTTTTTTTTTTTTTTTTTTTTTTTTTTTTGGATCAGGATGGAGATACAATGGATAGTTATTGGCATATATCAACTGTGACATTATTTTCGGTGATTGCATTGATAGTATTCTTTTCAGGAGAAATAGACGCAGATCCCAACAAAACACCGAGGAGGGTTCCAGACCTGTGTCCACAAACTGGACTGCTGCTTCTCATAGAGCAGTTTCCTTGCCCAGCCAGTATCTAAGAGAAACTATGGAAGGTCAGTTTCACTTAAACTAACTCCCAGTTTCCGTTAAACTAACTCCATAAATTGATTATGGAATTCTGATATCTTGTGTAATAACTATTACATTGTCCTACCACAATCCTTTTTTTTTTTTTTTTTGGTCTTTTAATTTGGAAATGTGAACTTTAATCATAATCCTGATACATGGTAATTACTATAAGTAGAATATTGAAAGAGAAGGAAATTACCGATTTATAGTGAATTTGCACTGTGCAGATGTGACAGCTTTTGAAACAGAAAGAACAATTATTTTTAGCCTTGAGGAGATTGAAGAGGCAACAAATAACTTTGATGAAACTAAGATAATTGGACAGGGTGGATATGGAAGTGTGTACTTTGGGGTGTTAGGAGAGAAAGTATGGCTTATCTTTGCTACTTTTCTTTATTTCTATTGAGACACATTAATATTTAATACCCAAAATTGAACATTGCTTTACAACATTCAGGAGGTTGCTATAAAGAAGATGAGATCCAACAAATCCAAAGAGTTCTTTGCAGAGCTCAAGGTTTTATGCAAAATCCACCACATAAATGTGGTAAGTTATATTGTCAAGTTTAACTTAATTTATAGGAGGTTTTGGATTGAATCCTCTCACAGAGCAACATTAGGAGACAATTGATTTAACTTTATAAAATGGAACTTTATTTATGCCACTATCTTTGTGTATGCTTACTAATGACTAATTCACAATTTGAAATATATATGTTGAAGGTGGAGCTGTTAGGTTATGCTAGTGGAGACGATCACCTCTACTTAGTTTATGAATATGTTCAGAATGGTTCACTCAGTGATCATCTTCATGATCCATTGTTAAAAGGTCATCAACCTCTCTCTTGGACGGCAAGAACTCAGATTGCACTTGATGCTGCCAGGGGTATCGAATACATTCACGACCACACCAAAGCTCGGTATGTCCACCGTGATATAAAGACCAGCAACATTCTACTTGACCAGGGGTTGCGAGCAAAGGTACCAAAATCATAACAAATATTTAAGATTCGTTATTCAAATACTTGTTTATAACTCTTTTTCTACTGTTTATCAAAGCCTAATGTAATCATGATAACAATAGGTTGCAGATTTTGGATTGGCGAAGCTTGTGGAACGAACCAACGAAGATGATGACTTGATAGCAACAAGATTGGTAGGAACACCGGGCTATCTTCCTCCGGAGTAAGTTTAACATTTCTGAGTTGCTTTGTTTAATACAACCATTACTGGCGGATATTTCTGATACACTGTATAGACGTTTCTGAATTTGTGAACTGTTTTATTTACAAGATCTGTGAAGGAGCTACAAGTGACCACTAAAACTGATGTATTTGCATTTGGGGTGGTTCTGGCGGAGCTGATAACAGGTCAACGTGCTCTTATTCGAGATAACCGAGAACCCACCAAGATGAAATCACTAATTACTATTGTAAGTTAACTAGTTACATATATTTGTATGTAATTATAAAGGAAACAAGCTTAAGAAACCTGGAAATTTTGTTTACTCAGATTAATAAAGTGCTCCAAGATGAAGATCCGGAGACTGCTTTAGAGCAAGTGGTAGATGGAAGTCTTCGAAGCAGCTACCCAATGGATGATGTGTATAAGGTTAGTTGCATTTGTGTTCATGTGTAAAGGGCTTAAATTAAGAGAGTGATGAGATGAGATAACTTAAATACTGTTGACACTTGCAGATGGCAGAGGTGGCTGACTGGTGTTTAAGTGAATATGCAGTGAACAGACCAGAAATTAGAGAAATTGTTGTAACACTATCTCAAATTGTTATCTCCTCAACCGAGTGGGAAGCATCTTTAGGAGGGAATAGCCAAGTTTTCAGTGGCCTATTCAATGGAAGATAAATATTTCTTTTTGTGATTGATATCGACCAAGTGCATTTGCAATAACAAATTTTCATCACGTATTGCTGTTTATTTGGAGAATTTCATGTCCAGAGGTTTATGCTTGAAATGTAACTAATTTTTGGTTTCTTCGCTGCTAGATTATTTTAATAAAGAGTAATCGACATGTTTCCACCCGAGGTTCGGCAAAATCCTAAGCAAATACCCCCATTTCCATTTATTTCAAATTTTCATCCTTAAACTAATTCTGTTTTCTTTAATAGTGGAAGGCTAAAATAGTATTTACCCTATTTTGAAATTAAAAGGACAAAATAACCCTAAAAAAACCCCAAATCTCAAATTCCTTTGCACCTCCACCTTTTCATCTTCGGCTTCCTCTAATCTTTGTCGGCATCTTTGTAGGCCATTTTTCGGTCTTTTCCGGTAATGAAGCCCAGATCTAGCCGTGACTATCCATCTCCCTCTTGCATTTCTCTAGTTTTTTCTTCTTCACCGTGCGATTTTGCATTTCATGTGAGTGCAGCACCCAACCACCTGATTTCGTCATCGTCGGACACCCCCATCACCACCAATCACTTTCCCTTAACCAACACACCAAAACCCCTCTCACGCCCATCCAAGAGAACCCCTCAATTGTCGGCCACCACAAATCTAGGGTTTGCATGATTTTTCCATTTTCCCGTCGATTTCGGCAACAAAAATCCCTCCCGTCACCGTCATTCACCTCACCGACCTCCCCTCTCGAAAACCCCTTCCATCCTTGACAGTCGTTTGGTCGTCGGTCGCCGTCCATCACTTCCTCATCTCTTCACGCGATAGCTAGGTTTGGGTTGATTTGGAGCCTTTGTTTTGAGTTTGATTTGTTGTGTTTTGAGTTTGATTTGCTGCGTTTTTTCCCTGTTGCCGCTGATTTTCCTTGCCACTGCCATCACCCATCACCTGTGTTTTGGAGTGAATTTGATTTGTTGATTGATTGTAGGGTGGGCCGACTATGGTGGTAGTGGTTTGGAATGAGGGTGGTTTGGCCGGTTGTGGTGGCGGTTTGGGATGGGGTGGCTTAGAATGGACTACGGTTTGGAATGGGGTGAAGGGCAGTTTCATAATAGCTCATGTCAAAACCAAACCGTCGTTAACAACGTTCATTTAAGGGTGGGGATTTGGAATAAATGGAACTGAGGGTATCTGCTTAGGATTTCGCCAAATCTTGAGTGGGAATATGCAATGTTTTGAAAACCAGACCGGGAGTCGACTCGACCAAAGGCCCAGTTTTCGGTTTTCCCAGTTGGACCGGTGATGTCATCATGCTAACGTCAGCATGATGACGTCCGCAAAAACGAAAAAAAACTTTAAAGTTTAAATGGTAATATGCTACGCACAAATTGAAAGTATAACAAAAAGTTATCCTCTTATTTATCCTAATCCTATATCATGGTTTCAACACAAGGAAACTTACATTTTAGAGTTACATTTTACAGCCTTCAACTCTGTTACTGTAATACTGTAATGAAGCTTCACGGTGAAACTTTCACCATCAATTTCTAAATTTCCCATGAGAAATTACATTTTAGAGTTTCATAAATTCAATTGACAAATGACAGATTCACAATAAGAAATCAGTTTTAAGAGTTTCAAAATTTAAATTGACAGATTCAGTGATTCACATGACATATTCACAATAATACAATATCATGAATCATGATATGAAATAGAAGACAGAGAAAGATAGGATGACTCTTAGTCTCTTACAGTAGTGTGTTACTTGGTCGATGGCAGATGGCAGCTCGCAGACGGCGGCAGATGTGAAGGCTGAAATCTGAACTAAAGTTGAAGTAGGGACTGACAAATCTGGCAGACCAGCAACGACAAGGAAAAAGTAGGCTTTTAGATGGCGACAGTGATGATTGAAGAGTTTTAATCGTTGAAGACCTGAAGTTGAAGAATTAAGACTCTGAACTAAAGTGTTGAAGTCACGACTGACGAGTGAGTAGTAGACCAGACACGGCAAGGAAGAAGCAGAGTAGCAGACCAGCGATGATTGAAGAGGTTGAAGACTTGAAGGCTGAAGCTGAAGCTTGAAGAAGATCACGAATGGAGGAGGAGGACTGGACTGGAGGTGGCAAACCAAAAAGAAAAAGTGAAAAAGCAAATGCGCCAATCAAAGCAAAGTGTACCAAACAGCTGTGAACCGCAAAAGCAAATATAAAAAATTAAAAATGGGTTAAAAAAATTGGGGGTTTGACTTTAGGGGGTTTTGTAATTTATTAGTGGATCGGATTTGACGTTGGACCGGATTTGTGTGGTATACCGGTTGGACTGTCGGTCTGCTATAGTAAGACGGTGCAACAACGGTTTGAAACGGTCCAACGTGAAATCCCAGTTTTTTACTCCTTTTAAACTGAAAATTCCACCGAAACCCGGTCAGACCTGTTCCACCGCTTGGTCCGATCCAGGTTTCAAAACACTGGGAATATGCGTTTGATCTTTTAATAAATTACATAACAATAAGTACATGTAACAACCACCATTGGATGACTTGATGTTAAAAGAGTAAAGAAGGTTCTATGAGTTCCTGAGTTCAAGTCTCCCCAGACACTAAAAGGGGTGACATTGGGGCTTTTACCCAGCTGGCATTTCTAAGGTCTCGAGGGATTAATTGAAGTATGCACAAACTAGCTTAAACACCCCGACAATTAAAAAAAAAAGTACATGCACCACTCTAATAGAGCAATTCAAATAACAAATCATTATAACTAGTAATTTTATAATTTTCTTAAAATGTCATTGTTATGCCTAAAAAATCAGGGCTAACGTTAGCCTACGTTAGCAAGTGCCAATCATAGTTCATGAAGACTTTGCGTCGTCCAGGAGCTGCCACGTCGCTCCATGACAGGAAGAATATGGTTGTCATCAACTTGGCAAATTTAGGTTTTCTCTATGAGTGATAGAGGGCCGCACATAGGGGTGAGCACGGGTAGCGGGTAGAACCGGAACTGGGGGTAAGAACCGGAACCGGAACCTACCCAGAACCTGCACTGTGCGGGTAGGTTCCGGTTCCGGTTCTTGCATGTGGAGGAACCGGAACCTGTAAAAAGGGTACCCTATTTGGAACCTGTAGGGGGTACCCGGTTTGGAACCTGTTTTGGAACCTGTTTGGAACCTGTTTGGAAACCTGTTTTTGGAACCTGTTTAGAACCTATTTTGAAACCTGGACTATAATGAAATATTTGTGAAATGTAAATAATGGGGAAGTTTCTATTATTTTACATATAAAAAAATTTAAAATAGAAAAAGTTAAATTTTTAGAATAACCTAATTAAATAAATATACGAATACAATTATACTTATTACATATAAATTACACCATATTAAAAGCTTTAATATATTATAATACATTAATATTAAAGTTTTGATCAATTAAGTGAATAATTGGAATTATGATCCAATTAAAAGTGTTTTACATTTTTAATGTTATTAAAAGAATTATTTTTGAATAAAATAGTATTATTGATTGAATAAAATATTTAGTTATTACTTCAATTATCAAGTTCTAAGTAATCTATAATAAATTAGTAATTAATTAATTAATATGAAAATTGTTAAATATTAATAAATTTAATTACTAGTTAATATCATACTTAATCAATTATAACATTACATTATAGTTAAATGATTACTTAATTAATTATAATTTTATAATATTACTTAATTGATTTATAGTATAATTAATTATAGCATTACATAATTGATTACTAATTAATTGACTTATAAGTTATAAAATAATAAATAGTTAATAATTGGCTTATAATTAGAAATTAATAATTTATAGCATTATGTTATACATTTATAGTATAATACTTAATCAATTATAACATTTATTTAAACATTAGTACAAACTTAATTAAATGATTAAAAATTTAATTAATTATAATATTACATTAAAATTTATAGTATGATACTTAATGTTAACACTTAACATTACATTATTAGTATGATATAATTATTATAACATTAATAATTAAATAATTACTAATTGATTATGTCATTATATATAAATATTAGTAATTACAATTACTACATAACATTAGCATAATACTTAATAAATGATAAGAAATTTAATTAATTATAACATTACCTTAAACATCATTATAAACATTAATTAAGATACATTATAGTTAAATAATTACTCAATTAAATTATAATATTATTATATTCATTATATATTAGATCACTACTTAATTATAGCATTAATAGTTAAATGATTACATAATTAGTTATGAATTTATAACATACATTATAAACATTAGTAATTTACTAATTTACTTATTATTACATTACTTAATTAAACGATTAAAAATTTAATTAATTATAAATACCTAATATTAAATATGATTACTAATCAATTTAACATTCCATTATAAACATTAGTATATTAATCAAATGATTTGAAATTTAATTATTATATATAAATGATAGTTTTAGTATGATTGCTTAATTCATTATAACATTACATTATACTATTATAGATGATCATATAATTAAATTAACATTACATAATAAATGATCACTAATTAATATGAGTTATGATATATGTTTTAAACATTAGAATTACTAATTTACTACATAAAACATAGCATAATACTTAATTAAATGATAAGAAATTTAATTAATTATAACATTACCTTATAAACATATCATTAAAACATTAATTAAGCATTACATTATAGTTAAATAATTACTCAATTAAATTATAATATTATTATATACATTTATATTATGCACTTACTTAATTATAGCATTATATATTTAAATGATACATAATTACTTAATTAGTTATGATTTATAACATTATATTATAAACATTAGTAATTTACTATACTATTACAATACTTAATTAAACAATTAAAATTTAATTAATTATAATATTACTTTATATATTGTAATATGATTACTTAATCAATTATAACATTCCACTATAACATTAGTATATTAATTAAATGATT